AACTTTTGACTTTATAGTTAACCTATTATTGTAAATTTCTTTTTCTCAGAGAAAATAAAAATATAAGGAAATAAGAAAAAATAAAACAATTAATTTTTTAATAATACTACTATAAATTTTGTCAAAATAAAAAATTGAATTTTTGAATGCGGATTATTTTGTAAAAAATAACTGCGAGATTAATTCTCATTTCTATATATTAATGTAAATTAACTCTAATCTCAGTTAATTTTCAAGTCTGCGACACATGATGCTTTTTTCCTACTGGATTTTTTCCGTTTTAGTAAATTATAACCAAAATTGGATCACACAGAATGTGCAGAACTTCTAATAATTTACTAAAACACTAACAATAATCCAGTAGAAAACATACATCGTGTGCTGCTTACTCTATACCTTCTTCTAACTTTTAGAACTAGAAAAAGATAAAAAGTGAGTTAAACTAAGATTAGAATTAATCTACGTTAGTAGAAATGAGGCCTGTTCTTTTTATGCCTATTTCTACCAATGCAATTTAACTTTAATCTCAATTCAACTAACTCTTCATCTTTTTCTAATTTTAAGAATAAGAAAAAGATGAAGACTCAGCGAACCGAGATTAAAGTTAATTTACATTGATAGAAACGGGCATTAGCTGAATTTCTTGCACGATTCTTTCTTTTCTCTTTTTCTTTCAACGTAGAGAGAAAAGAAAGAAAGATGACCCGTGCAAGAACTTTAGCCAGAAGAACAGACCGATGGATATAATAAGCAACGATTAAAATTAACAAATTAAAATCTGACAGACTCACTCCAGACGTGCACGCTCCAACCGGGCTGTTCCAGTTCGGGGGCGACGACGGGCGCAACGGTGAGCTCGTCGATGTTGCTGCTGGTTGTTCTCCATCTTTTCAGAAGGTCCTTGGTCCGATCTCGCGTACGATCGCACGCCTGCCGCCAGTTGGTGATGAATTTGCGAGGTACCTTGAGCGCATTGTTGTCATCTAGACTGATCTCCTGGCTGCCGAGTGAGCTGCGTTGACTCTTGTCTTGTTCCCCGCCACCGCTCGACGTGCCATCATTCTCCGGATAATACATTGGATCCTTTATGCTACCTGAACGGCTCTCCATGATGAACTACTTAGTCGAACGTTATGCCTTAACTGACGTTACATATATTACAAAGGGGGGATTCACTCTCTCACCTGAAAATAATCAATTCACCAGTCACAGAGGTCACCGGGTCGCTCGATATTGCGACCGCGCCGTTTCGTCGCCGCGGAATCTTCCGTGTAATCAGGCTAACGTGTAGACGCATAAATCTTTCTCGCATGACAACACTATATCTCTTATGTGCAATTTATTTATTTATTTAATTTTAATCTATATATACGTTGATTGAACGTATTTCGATCAGAAATGATTGATCGATCGATGGATGTTGATCGATGCTAAATTTCTTGGATGTATTAACATCGATTTGACGTTGATTGATCAATCATTTCTGGCTGGGATATTCTCATGTTTCATTTAAAATTGTAAAAAAAAAAATAAAGTTTATTACAATTAGGAAAAATAGATATGCTATATTATAGGAATGCTATGACTGTTCTTTGAATAATTTTGTTTTGAAAGAAAATTAAATAAATCGAACAAAATCGAAATCACCATTAAATGGATTAGAAAATAAAGGATATAAAAGAAATTGTTTTAATAAAATCTTCTATAAGTGTCCTTTTCAAGGACATTCTAAAGATACGTAAAATCTATGTATAAAGTTAGTTGTTTATAAATTATCTAATAAATTAATAAATTAATAATTGATAATTAATCATATATTTTATGACACTTAAAATTCGGGATGTATTGAATATTCGAAAAATATCCAGTATCCGGTATTATTTGATACTTTTTTACTATCCGGTCGATTAGCCAAATATTATTAATATCTAACAATCTGAAATTTTATGTTGAAAGTTTTACACCTTATTGATACAGAATTTTATACTTTTTAGTTAAACTTCTTGCAAATTCGCACATTGCAGTTATGGTGATTTATGACAATAATCGAAATACATTGTCAAATGGAAAATGCTGAAACGTTATTGTTCGTCATGAAAAATTTATTAATATTAAAAAATACAATAACGCGAGTTATAACATGCAATGTGTGATAATAATATATGATAAATAAAAATATTAATGGAAATATTACCCCTTTCCTTATCTGAATCAGATATAAGTAAGATATAAGTAAGAAATAAAAATGTAATGATGAAAAAGAGAAATTAATTTAGATTAAAGATTACAAGAAAATTGAGTGAAAAAGAAAAAGTAAAATCTGCATATAAAAATATACTTTTTTTTTGCTAATAATTATGCAAATTAATAGACACCCAGATAGCGCAACCAATCCATTAAATCTTGTAAGATATTCATGAATAAAAGATGCATTTTTTTATAAATTAGTAATAATCTGTTCAAAATGGACTAATTTAACTCAAGCAGAGCAACAAATTATTATGATATCAAAATGATGCCAAAATGACTCCAAAATGATTATTAAAAATTATTTTTCAATCATTTCCGATTCATTTAAATGTCATTTTGACGTTATCGTGATTTGTTGTTCTGCTTTGGAATAAATAAAAAAATACATACAAATATATATTTGTACACAATACATGTTTACAAATATGCATATAAATAATATATATAAATAATAATTATTTATTTTCATAAATAATTATTTATTGTTATACAAAATTAAGAGATAGAAAAAAAAGGATAAAATTTGAAAAAAGCTCACAATTCACAATCGATAACATTCCAGCAAACGAGGATGAATTAAAATGGATTGAAATGAAATTTTTTTCTATTCGAATGCGTATTTTAAATAGCGAATACTTTTTTTTTTAATTTAATTGGATTCAATTAGATTTAATTGGATGCAATTGGATTGAAAAACTGCATTTCCTATTCAAAATTTTGAATTAAACAGTATTCACAATGCACAGAAAAAGCTAATATTATTTTTAGATTGAAAGGCATAGAGATATGCTCCATGCAATTCCTATAAATGAATAAAAATGCATTCAGGATTGAAAAGCATTCATTTTACATTCGTGAATCAATATTTCTGAAAATCTGAATCCATTTCAATTCATTTCAATCCATTCTCGTTTACTGGGATAAAAGTGAAATCTTTTGGGATTCTCAAGAATACTTTTAGAATAGAAATGAGACGAAACAGGAATTTATTTCGTAAGGAATTTATTTCGAGATTAAAAAAGAATTCCTTTCGGACTCTGCTATTTAGATAATTAAATATATGTATAAATATTTCATATTTGCCATTTTAATCCGGATATCGACGGATGTTTGCACACGTGATTCACGTCTCTCATTTTAGAGGTCTCTGAACGTGACGTGGAGAACGAACACGCCATCTTAATAGAGTGGCTCCCTCATAAGCCGAATCCTTTCCTTCTGTTGTAGCTCGTTCGGGGTGAGTGATGTGTGATTCGAATCGCGTTTTATTATAATCATCCTTGATTTTACGGGCGTCGGAATATGGGCAGATTGTTCACCAGGCTTCCCAATTCGAGATCCTCTTATATTTTTCATAGACCTTCCCATTGATCTATCATATTCATCGCGATGAAATAACGCTAACCTCGAGGATGTCTGCCGCACGATGTCGCGTGCTCGATGTTTCTCTCCTCTCGACCGACTTCGCGATATATTTCTGATGAAAATAACGATTTAAATGCATATACTTTCATTAGAAAAAGAAGGAATTGTTTATATGAAATTTTTATAGTGTAGAAATTATGAATAATGCATTATTTAATCATCTTATTTATATCTAGGGATCTGCGATGGGTGCATATAAATATATGCAGGAGCTCTATCGCAAGAAGCAGAGCGATGTGCTCCGCTTCTTGCTGCGTGTCAGATGCTGGCAGTACCGCCAATTGACCAAGATGCATCGTGCTCCTAGACCATCTAGACCAGATAAGGCCCGTCGTTTGGGTTACAAAGCTAAGCAAGGTAAGCATCACCATTTCTTTTCCAGATAAAAAACATGCTCGTTTGAAAATATCAATTTGAGGATACTCAAATATACTGAATCAAAGGCATGTTCTTCCTTTTTTTTAGCTGAATTTACATGGTTCACCTTTTATTTTTTTTTTCGATATGGAAAAAGAGGACAGATGAACTATGCAAAAAGTTCAGCTAAAAAGAACAAATATAAAATTTAGTGAATAATATTTATCCAATAAGATGTTTTTATCTTAGACATATAACAATGGAAAGTCTTTGTTCTTGGAATCAGTGATTTTATTCAGTATTCATATTTGGTTCTTATATTAAAAATTGTCTTAAGTAGTCTTAAGATGTCATGAACCAATCACAGAATTGTATTAGCATCTAAAGATATTACTTAAGATGGCCTTGAAATAAGAACTGATATGAATACTGATTAATACATATTTTTATAATTTATAGTTAGAGAAACATGATTTTGCCAAACTATATTGTTTCTTTTAGATCTAAATGTCTTGTATATTTATTTTATGAAAACTAGTTTTATAACTGATAAATTTTAGTTTACACTTAAACCGATAAGCAATTCTTCAATGTAACATAATGATATCATTTTAACTGCCGTATTATACCTGATACCAGAACATACGTGATTTTGCATGACTTTACGTGAAAATTAACTGATGATTTGTACTTGCACCACTCTGACAGTTTTGTGGAGAGAATTATACCTATTACATATACTGATATATTTAATAAATTAATTTTAAGTGTACACAATCTTAAATGGAGAATAAATACAAAATTTTATTTTTGTACAGGTTTTGTTATCTTCAGAATCCGTGTACGTCGCGGTGGACGCAAGCGTCCAGTTCCTAAGGGTGCGACCTATGGCAAGCCCAAGAGCCATGGTGTCAACCAGTTGAAACCAACCAGGAAACTACAGTCAGTTGCTGAGGTAAGATATGGGAATACAAAAGATAAGTAGCATAAAAAAAAATCGTAGAAATCACATATGATGAATTGTACCATGCACCACTCTTACTTTAAAATGGGGAAGCAGTTGTACCTTCTGATCATAAACATTTTAATTACAGAAATTATAGCTTTATTGATATTTATTTAAAAAACTTTTTTTTATTTTACATTTGTGTATTTTTAAAAATGATGATAGCTTTGTTAATAATGAAAAACATTGATTCTTTTTCTTCCTTGGATGTCTGAAATTATTAATTTGAGGATTAGCAGTCTTTTTTACTAGGATTTTTCACTAACAATATTTCCTTGCAGGAACGCGTTGGCCGCCGTTGTGGTGGCTTGCGAGTGCTGAACAGTTACTGGGTAGCCCAAGACTCTTCGTACAAATACTATGAAGTTATTCTTATCGATCCTGCTCACAAGGTAATATTTAAAACAAATTTATAGCTTTCGTTATCCTTAAAAAGTAAAATTATTGTTTTATTATTCTTATTATTAACATTATTATTATTATTATTATTATGTTCGAACTGATATTTGATATACTTTTTTTTTATTTGACAATATGATGACATTTTATATCACCAATGAATGAACACATGATTATTTATCTTCCTTGGATGTCTGAACACATAGATTTTGAGAATATTTTTTTAAAGATTTGTTCGTCATATATGCTTTTAACGTTTCCTGATTTTATTCCAGGCAATTCGTAATGATCCTAAGGTAAATTGGATATGCAATGCGGTGCAGAAGCACCGTGAGCTCCGTGGTAAGACTTCCGCCGGCAGGAGTTCTCGTGGATTAGGTAAAGGACATCGCTATTCGCAAACGATCGGTGGTTCGCGTCGCGCGGCTTGGAAGAGACGAAACACATTGTCTCTTCGCAGAAAGCGATAATTATTTTGTTTGTAACCTCCACTATGCAAGATACATCATTTTATTGCTTACTTGGTATCAATATCGTGACGTATCCTGTAAAAAAAATAAATATCTCTTTCCTAAAACTTGTAAAATTTTAGTTTTTTCGATTTCCCTTTCTGTACCCATGAAATCTTAAGTAAAGAAATCTTAAGCAGGAAATATAATGAAAAAACAGTAGATAAAATTGATTTTTTTAACCGATTTATTTTTTAATCGTGCACATATTTAAAACAACATAAGGAAAATAACTCATTGGCCGGGTCCAGATAGTGATTTGTCCATAAATTTCTTTTTCGCAAAACAGAGCCACCATTTGCTCGGCTTCCCATCCTCGCCATATACTTTTTCAACAATTCTAACAGCCGTTTCCTGCCTGATTTGATAAAGATATTGCCTCATAAGATCTAAAATTGAAAGTAATATCGTATTGTCTAGAAAAATATCTTATATTAGTCGTTAATTTCCAAACAATAAGTTCACTACTTACCAGCTTCAGCAGGACTGCTTGGTTTGGCATATACTGAATTCAATGGGAAGCCGGGATCGCCAGGAATATCAAATTTGGAGATAGCAAGGGAAAACATCTCATTCATGGCTTGTGGTTGAGTCGCACACTTTTGTAGCTTTTTCAGGCATTCAGTAATGAATAGCGTGATATAGATTAAAACTCTGTCAGCCTCGCTCTGCAATAAAAGCCCAGCTTGATGTATACAGGAATTATACTGTTTCACGATAGAATAGAACTTTTAAATGTATTACCTTAATTTCATATGTCCTAAAAAATACATTTGCTTTAAAGAAATATAACGCCTCATCAATGATATCTTGCTCTTTGTTGTTAAAAGGAGGTGCAGGACCCCTGAATGTGGTTTTGATTGGCAGCAGTGCCATATTTCCAATAGTGCCATGGCTCTTTGTGAAACTTGAGTGATATGCCTAAAATATTATGAGCAATGTGTAAAACATCAAGTACTTGAGATATTGCAAACAAGATGGATTATTAATCTAACCAGATTGCTATAGGCTGATATTTATAGTTCATGATTATTTTAAGACCATTCCTAAGTAATGTCTTACGATACTTACAAATATAGGTCTGTACTATGTAATCAGTATTCATAGTCGATTTTTAGATTTAAGACTATCTTAAGTAATCTTACAATGTTATGAACTAATCAGCAATATTAGCATCTTACGACAGTCTTAAAATAAGACAAATCATTGAATAAATTAGTTAAGACAGTCTTAAAATAAGTAACGGATTATGAATATCAATCAAGCTGATATTTATAGTGGATTCTTAAGTCTGTTTTAAGTACAGTCTTAAGATATCACAAACCAATCAGAGGGCCGTATTAGCATCTTCAAACATTACTTAAGACGGTCTTAAAATAAGAACTGACTATGAATACCGATATCATAGACTACAAGCTGGCTCTACATTATTATTCTATCTTCAAAAATTGTCACCCAATCATAATACAATCTACACGTGAAAAATTTTAATTTAGTGAATATTTCATAAAAGAAGAAAAAATAATAGCAAAAATCTAGGCTGAAAAAGAAGAGATTCTGCACTTTGGTTATGGTAAATGGGTGACGCCCTTTTGTATTGCCGTATTTATTTTGAAACATTGCTTTGACGCAAAGTGTTAGGACTTACAGGCATAACGATGGTAGAATAACAATCTTCTAACAAAACGGAATAAATGGAAGCACGTTAGTTACAACATGCTTCGAAATGTCAAAGTGTCGAACTGATCAGCAAACCGTGACAACCTAGTTCAAGTAAGCGACAACAGACCGCGCTGATAAAGCTACCGCGTCCAGGGACGCAGTCACCAGGAAAAGAGAAAAAGTAGTGACGACATTGACGACGTGTGTGCTTATGTGCGATTGTGACGGCCAGTGTTGTGGAGTCCCCGATGATGATGTCGCGTCGAGGCTCGTCGAGCTCTTGAAAACGCTCGACGAACGTTCAGTGCGCTCGCGTTCCCACTGAAAACGACGACGACGGAGAGGAGAGGAGAGAGGAAGCTCGTCCGCACATGTCGGTCTCCATGCAGATTGACAGCAGCATGTTGACGAATTCAGATACCAGCCTCTGTCGCGTCTGCCTGACCGTGGATCACAACAATCAGTGTATCTTCCGCAGGAACTGGGACGATCCGAGGAGCCCATCCGGGTTGCCCGAGAAGTTGCAGCTATGCTGCGGCGTGGAGGTTTGTTTTCTACCTGCGCCTTCTGTTTATCTTGCATACAAAACACGAGACGATCTCTTCTTATTCAGATTCTGGAAGATGATGGTCTGCCGACTAGTATCTGCCTCGAATGCGTAGTGAAAGTCAACGTTGCCTATGAATTGAGGAAACAATGTCAAAAAGCAGACATAGAACTCAGGAAGTTATATGGGAAATCCTTAAAAACAAACATTGCCAGCATTCCAACAAAAGTATTTTCATCTCTATATGAATAAAATTATAATAAGTAGCTAACTGGCTCAGGGAATTAACAATTAATTAAATAGGGAAGGGGACAAGCCTGATAATAATGATTTAATTTAAACTGAAACATTTGGATAATTTATATGACTGAAAATACAATTGTTTTTTCATTTTTTCTTATTGCCTCTTTCTCTGTTTAAAATAATAATTTCAATACTATTCGGGCTGACATTTATCTTTTTTTACTTTGCAGGACCAGTGTTGTCAAACTGACCAATTTTTTATCTTGGATGCAATCAATTCGAGTGACAATATAGAGTTAAGTGCAGATAATGAAGTTAATATAGAGAAAAGCATTATGCAATCAAATGTTATGAGACAAGAACAAATACTAGATGCTTTTGATCAAATCAAGCAGGATGTTTCAGTAGACAATGAAGTAGATCTAGACTGTGGTAGTAAATATAAACAAGTAGAACATGACAAAATAGCTAATAGAATGAGAAACGAAAATAGCTATAGAACGAGAAGATTAATGTTTAAAAGGGTTACGTCTATAGAAAATTTGAGGAATTATAAAGAGAGACAGAGACGATACATCAAAAAGAGCGTAAACGTCAAACGTGACAGCAGCGATAGCGAGTATCAAACAAAGACGAAAAATGTTCACGGCAGGATGGACAGAGCGTCCGAAGTGGAACTGCAATATAAATGTCAAAAATGTGATAGATTTTATTCCAGTAAAAAGTCCTTAGATAGACACACATCAACTCATAACGATAAAGAGTTCAAATGCGATAGCTGTGATAAGCAATTCTTCTGTCTGGATAAATTGCATAAGCATATTAATCTGCACAGAGCAAAGGAGAAGCCGAAACCGGTGTTATGCAAAATCTGCAACAAGAGTTTCAGAAAGATCGATACTATGGTCAGACATCTGAATACTCATAAGAAGGCATATCCTAAGGATGTTTTCTCTATACTGAAGGAGATACGGGACAAGAGAAGATTGGAAAATAATCCAGAGTCTTTCGAAACGTCGCTCACGCTGGATGAGGACGAAGAAGTAATGCGTGATGGACAATTTCAAAGTGCAAACAATGGCAATACGAGAGAACTACGAAAACGTAACAATACAAAAGTGGAACTAAGAGACTCGGATTTGGTAAACAGTGACTCCAGCGATGACAAAACAGAGTTTTTCGACGACGCGTCACTCTTCAACTGCAAACATTGTAGCAAGAGTTATCGTACCGAAAGATCGCTTCAACGTCATCTGCTGACACACGATGAGAAGAAATATGTCTGCAATGTTTGCAACATGAAGTTCTTCCGACAGGATAGGCTGAAGAGTCACATGGATCGGTATGGTCACGATGAAACCAAGATGTGTTCGGAGCCGCAGAAACCGCCTGACGACAAGTCTGCCATCAAGCTGATAAACACCTGGATAAGAGAGGAATTGGATTCCGATAACGAGGGCAAGGGTTTCCCGTGTAGAATCTGCGGAAAATCATACGACACGAAGAAGTCCTTGTTGAAACATCAAATGAACGCGCACAGCGGACAGAACGACTATTGCACGAATTGCGGTACCGTGTGTAATTGCGTGTACAAGGATCAGGAGAAAGGCAACGAAAAGTCAAAGCCGTATACTTGCGAGGAATGTAACAAGTCGTTTGAGAAGGAGATCAAGTTGCACAAGCATCTGAGAATTCATGAGCGCGCCAAGGAGCAGCAGGACGCGAACTTCAAGCGTTTTCTATGCCACATATGCAGCAAGACGTTTCGACAGAATACCGGCCTCATGTTCCACATGAGAACACATACGGGTTACAAGCCGCACGTGTGTAAGTACTGCGGCCGTGGCTTCACATCTAATTCGAATTGCATCAATCATGAGAGGACTCACACGGGCGATCGGCCGTTCGTCTGTCAATACTGCAGCGCTGCTTTCGCCAAATCGTGCACCCTCAAGGCTCACATCACCACGCACACCGGCGAGGCGAATTATCATTGCAAAACCTGCGGCAAATCGTTCCGTCGGTTGAAGTACTTGAAGGAGCATCGATTCACGCATACAGGCGAGAAACCGTACGCGTGTAAGATCTGCGGCACCGCATACAGCCATTCTGGCAGTTTATTCGTACACGAGAAGAAGTGCAAGGCGCAATTCAGTAATTATCAGTCGGGGGTTGTACAAAATGTACAGCAGCAACAACAGGTTTCCTACAGTCAATCCTCTCAGACCACTGGCGGCATTTCCGTGGCGTCCACTTCTTCGGTTGTCGCTCCTATCATCACTACGCTGCCTCAGGCTCACCTAAACGTAATTAACAGTACTCTAAATGTACAGGCGAACAAAGACTACGTGGATAACGTTCAGCGAATGAACGCGCATGCATCGACTAACGCAACCACAGTTGTCTCACCAGGTCTGCATCCGAATGTTGACATCTCCGAAATGAGTTCCGCCGTTAGGAACTTCTCCATCATCGGGCAGATGTTTCACACTTAGAAATGCGTACGAGCGAAACGCGAATCAAGACTACTGTGATAAATATCCCTTTTTTTTATACTTATGTAGATACTTGTGAAGATATATTTTACATTCGAGTATAGCTACGTATCTTTCTGCTTTATCTTTCAATAATCATTGAGATAAGTATATGTTTTGTATTGTACCTACGTCACAATATGGGAAGATGGGTATAGAATGTATATTTGTATCTTACAATTATTAGAAATTTTTATTACACAGAATTTTTATACGACAGAATCTTATTCTGTATAGCTGTTATACAAAAGTATACATATACATATATGTATATATAATATATATATGTATATATGTGTAACTTTATATTTTAATTATTGAATTGTTATTTTCTGTATATACGATCTCGTAATCGTTACGTAGATGATTCGTCTGTTGAATCGTGCAAAATCAGTTATGAATCCTTATGAGTTTATTCCATGTCGAAAATAATTTTTATAAACTTCATAACTGACAAATACGTATACGTATATGAATATATTGAGCAAGATTTAATTCGTGTATACAACATGATTAAAATAAATACATTTTGCACCCAAGCAGTTTATTCACTTTCGAATTATCTTAAATTATAAAATTATACACATCCCCTCATTAAAAATGCTCGAACGTGTACATCTCAGCAATCAAGCTAACGTCATTTATCGTCATTTGATATACTTAAAATCAGAGATGGGAAATTACTTTTATCGTTAGCTTTGTTTTTTTTTTAAATAACGGCAGTATGTTTAGATTAGTAATGACGTTGTATTTTTTTATGACAATGTGATAAAAATTAAGATTAGGAATGTCACTTTTGAAAAGTGACTTGTCATCGTTACGCATTATTTATTGAAAGAAGTAATTCATACTTGAAATGTAACGGCAAAAATAGTTAAAGTTAGTAAAATTATCATTTCTTTTTTTAATATAAAAAGAGAAATGATAATTTTAACAAAGGAAATTATAATTTTATATTAAAAAAAAAGATTTTAAATGTATATATTTAAAATATAAAAATAAAAATTTTATCGTTGTTTTTTGTCTTCAATATTTTGAAGAATAATTGCCAACGCAAATTACGTTTAATTTAAAATATTGAGCACGTGATTCTCACAAATATGGATGATAATAATTTTTAAGTTATTTATTAAGATATGTTTGAAAAAAATATGGATGGATATTTCCAATTGCCTTGATCCTCTTTTCAACACATTTACGTCATATAACTATCTTTGTTAGCATCGCTATTCACGATACGAGCTGTTGGATTAGTTTCACGTAATGTAACAATGTAAACAATGTAAAAGACAGAGTGATATTTGAAAAATATTTAAAGAGAGGCTAAAATATGTTTGAAAAATTGGAATTGAAATTTTTTTTTTAATTGCAAGTAATTTTGCTTGCTTATTAAATAAGCTTTATCAAATAAGTTTTCTCTGAATCTCGAAAGTGAGCCACGTTTGAAATGACGTATTCAAGGAGCGCGCCATTAGCCCCTATGTATCTATCCTTGTTTTACGTTAAATAAATGATAAAGATGGCAACACAATAGCGTTGTAGCGTGACTTCTCAAACGCAGTTATTGGCTGCGAGTGGAGATTGGTGGGGATGTCGAACTCTAGTAGGGAGTAGGGATTATAGCTATAGCGAGATAAATAAATAGAGGAGTTTAGCCGGCTGCCGGCAAAAAATCTTCCAGATCTGTCTGGTTATCCGACACCGTTGGTGATTGCGCAATAAACGCTTTTTGATCTTCGCAGAATTTGCCAAATTGTAAGTAGAACTCACTATTCTTATTTAATCAGATTTATACTCAGCTAGTTAACTCGAGACTGTAAAGACTGTGGTATTGCACAATATTGCGTCGAATATTTCGAGCAAAAATGATACGCGGTTACCGCCCGGCTAATTAACAGTCTGCAGACTAATGGCTTATAATAGCGGATGAATTAGTTTCATCATCATGATAAAGCAATAATAACGTCAAGGTCTGTTCGAAGAATTCAGAATAGTCACGGTATTTGGAAAGTGTGAGCAGCGAAAATATAAGTACGAACTGAGAATGAACTAGAAGAGGAAACGCCTCAACAATGGCGTCTTCTGCCAATATTAGAACCTTATTTCACAAAGCATATTTTATAAATCATGATTAATAAGAATTGTTATTTACAAAATCTGAGAACTGTAATACATTAATTGAATGTGCATATATTTCCTTGCATCCTCACGCAAAATATTTTAAATAAAAGCTTATATTTTTATCTCTGTAGATTTTATATCCAGAGGTTCATTATCAATTTCTAAATACAGTACCATATTGCACAAGAATTTTTGAATACAATATGTGATATTCATTCTTTACAACTTTCATGTGTAAAACATATTGCATAGTGATGTTCCAGGTAGAAGTTGTAGAACGGGTAGAACACAAGTTAATAATACCACAAGGACGTCATCTCTCATGACCCATTTATCACTTACAAGTTCACTTAAGTGATAAATGAAGTCATAATGATGGTTCTATGGTATCTTTACGTATTCTACCTGGGATATCAATGTTTTGAGCAAACGAAGGTTGAAAAAAAAAAGGAATATCATATGCTATATCTAAAAAATATTTGTGCAATATAAGCAATATTAAGCATGTGTTTATAGTTTGATAAGAATGATAAGAAAATAGGACTTGTAATGATTACATAATGTAACTGGACTGATGCTTTTTTGGATTCAAAATTTGTGTATAATAATAATTTTATTTTTAATAAATAGTGTTGGAGGATACTTTTTATAAAAAAATCTGTTTTAATGATAATTTTAATTCAGATTTTAAATTGAAATTTTTTTAACTTATACTATACTATTAATTTAAAATTTGAACTTAATGATTGAACACAATATTGATTAAATTTTTTTTTTGAAATCTATAGCTATTAAATATCTGGCTTAATAGTGATATTAATTAAAAATTGATCCTAATCCTTCGACTACATTTATATTTTTATTTCTTCTGCTTTACTCGTCTGAATTTTTTTGCTCAGTTTAAGTTTTTTTTCTATTGTTTTAGATTTTCAAAACGTTTAGAATTATTTTCCAATATCTTTATTATATTATCAATTAATTTTTTCAATTAGAATGTAAAAATTTGTATTTAATGAGAAATGAAATTTGAGCAAAAATTACAGTGAAATTTGAAAGAAATTTGCTTATGCCAAAAAAGACCTAAATTACAGTAGATGTAGGATTAAAATCCAATATATAAATTTTGATTATATACATTTGATTAAACCTAAAATTAAATGTTGATAAAACATAAATTTTT